CACTCCAGTTAGGTGAGAGCCACATGTAGAGAACACTTTTTGCCTACCTTTAGCAGAATCCATTTTGAAAACAGCCAAAAGAATAAAACAGTAGGAGATCAGGACAATCAGGATAGTGACCACCTCAATACAGCCCACAAAGTAGAAGAGTAGCAGCTGGTTTGTGTGAGTGTCAGAACAAGAAATAGCAAGGAGAGGAGGGATATCACAGAAGATGTGTCTAATTTCATTGGATCCACAGAAGGACAGTCTGAATGTGGCCACTGTGTGTATAGTAGCATGTAAAATGCCACCGACATAAGAAGCAACGATGAGTGGCACGTAGACTCTGGGTGATATGCTCACTGAATACAGAAGTGGGTTGTAGACAGCTACATAGCGATCATAAGCCATTGCAGCCAAGAGAAAGCATTCCGTGGTTCCAAAAGTATAGCAAGAAATATCTGTGCTGCACATCCAGGGAGTGAAATGACTTTATCCTTTGACTTGAATTCTACTAACATATTTGGTGTAATAACTGAGGAATAGCAGGCATCCACGGAAGACAATACACTCAGAAAATAGTACATGGGGGTGTGAAGCCTGGAATCCCCAATGACCAGTACAATCAGTCCTAAATTTCCCAGGAGAGTAAAGAGGTAAATTGCTAGGAACAAGAAGCAAAAGGTAGTCTGAAGTTCAACATTGTCTGTGAAGCCCTTCAGTACAAATATGGTAACTTCAGTGACATTCTCCATGATGAAATCTCACAGTACAAACTTGAAGATATTTATAAAATTACAGTTCATATCACTATAAACAATGAACAATGTCGTGAATCAAGGGAGCATGAACTACGCCTTCACATATATACATTCTTGCACTCATGTTTTCTAGCAGACAATCAGAAGACAGTGACAACTGTTCATGCCATTTGCTTCAGAATCAAAGACAGATGAATTCACTTACTGGCTGAATTCTTGCTATCTCAAAAACCATGGGGTCTACTGGTTCATTTACCACTGAATTTTATTAGTTGTTTTTATATTAAATAACATTAAAACACCAGTGAGTGCTAAAAAAAAAAAATCTTGCTGACATCCAAACACATGAGTGTATCAGTGTACAGAGCAATTGGAATAGCATACCAGAATTTTAGATCTCTCAGCAATTGTGTAAAATTATTTGCTATAATCTACACACTTGTACAGTGAGAATCATAACGTTTATTTTACAAGATTGGAGCAAATACAAAATTGAATCTTTACTTTTAATTATAGAATGCGCTGAATTAGATTGATTCTATAGAGTATACTATGAAGATTAAACCCTATAAAATACATTTTGATTAAGATTTTTTTCTCAGACCATTCTTTGTGTCTCTGAATTATTCTTTAAATAATAGAGTTTTTTAAATTGTGTGATCTTTTGATACTCAATCTACATATGCATGTCACCATCATTTCATTTTTTACATAGTTGTCGGCTTAGTTTTGCTTTCGTCAAATAAGATACATCAACTGAATTTTTCTTGACACAGGCATTTCTCCTAGCTGCCAAAAGTTATTATACAAGATAAGATGAAGTCAGTATTAGCACGTTTTCAAAAAATTCAGGGTTATACTAAGAAAATGACTATAATTCTGGAAGATTTCATAGTACAGGGTCAACTTTTAAAATTAGTGTGAACTACTGCTGTAATTCCAATTTTATTCTATTTTATTTATTTATTATTGGTTATGAATATTCATGAAATACAAAACTGATCGTCACATCTCATTTACTACAAGGGATAATACTCCAAACATGTTCAGCTTAATGATTAAACACTAAGTTTGCAAAAGAGGAGAGAAATGATAACAACCACTTATTATGCCCTTGATGTCGGAGTGGACTTTTGTGCACATTTACTTTATTTCAGCTTTCTAGCAACTTTCACATTTAATGAGTGCCAGTGTGAATATTTAGTCCCAGGTCATCCTCACAGCATATGTACTTTTCATTATTTTTTACTGCCTCCAACTATACCACAATTTCACTCTGCAGCTGGATCCCCTTCTCTCTGCTCCAGAGAAGTAAAGCAAAACACGATTATTGATGTTTTTAGATACTTTTAAATGGTTAACAATAGAGAAACTTTACAAAATACTAATCTGAAGTGATTACTAGGTTACATAGCAAGGTAAG